GCTTCAATGAACCCTCCTCTTTCTGCAACATGCACACCTTTTCTTTTCTGTTGACTGCTCACAGAACAGATTACTCGAGGGTTTGTATAACACTAATGGATACCTCAAGCCAAAAAAGATGGTGCCCCTAAGATGGCTCTGCAGAATCAGGTTCCTCAAGCAGGAGGCTCCTAGCTCATTGCAGTTGTTTACAATGCCACGTGCCTTATCAACATCAAGATCAACATCCAAGCGCTTTTCCAGGAAATGCTTTGAAGAGCATCAATTTCTAGAACATTTAGGATTTTAGTATTTTGATTATAAAAATGCAAATAGCTGCTTTCAATAAATGCTATGTCATCCAATTTAAACTGAACTCCACTGCTATATAACTGTTCAAATTTTCTTCTTGTGCAAATCATGGAAATATTTACTGCATTTACTACATGCTAAAAAAAACAAGAGGAATACAGTGGGCCATAAAACAGACTGGCCACAGCACAGGTAATATAATTGGAATTGGCATAAAATTAACCATCACCAGCAGGGGTACAAAGAAACCCCAAATACAGAAGAAAAACATACCCCATGAAAGCATTTTGAAAAAACTCCTCTCTTGGCACAATGTAAAAATCCATCTCCTGAACACCTAATTCTTCAAGGCACCAGACTGAGATAACTTCCTTCTGTATTGCTTCAGAAAATGGCATGGACACAGCACAAAGCTGCGTTTGAGTTTTTTTGTAGTCAGACCATTGCTTGAGTCATGCTCATAATGAAGCCATGCTTGGATCCATTTTTTAACAGTGCTGTCGCCAGTTCTATGGTGATTCTGATTTGGGAAAGCTGGTCCACAAGTTTGAAGAAATATCTGATGGGATAGTAGCCATCTTTCAGACTCTACATGTATCTGAAAATGCTCAGGATTACCAACGCCAGAATGATCAACAAAAGGCAGAAGCAGAAGGCTCAGAGGTGAGACAGAACACTTTCTCTCCTGCCAAGAACCAAGTGTTCTGGGAAAACCATCTCATTGCAGCGTTGCACACACCAAGACTCATCCCCCTTCTTGTAACGAGTTAGGCTCAGTAAACCAAAGAAATATAAAAAAAAAAAAAAAAACTAATTCCAAAGTTACTATATAAAGGTAGTGAAAAAGGAACTCAGGGACAACATTTCTTCACGTGAAGGAATACATCTACATGTTAGAGGGATATTGCATACAGAAATAAGTCCTGATTTAAAGATTGGAATATCTTTAAGAAGGCCAGTTGTGTTTTTCACCAAGCCTAAAAAGCAGCATGCCTACTTAAACCGAATTCTTTGAGCAAGGAAAGCCTACTTGTCAAGTCCCCACTGCAGTACAATCATAGCTCACTTCATATCTAGTGCAACAGAGTTGAATGTGACAGGTTTTTCATTGCTACAAGAGACCCTAAGACCTCTTAACAATCCGAAGCATGCGAACATTACAGTTTCTCTTTCAAAATTTACCTTAACACCTGCCTCCTCCCAGTTTCATAGATTTCATACAAGTCTCAAAGGAGTTGACAGGATTATGAAGTGAGGATGCGGATTTTTAAACTCATCCATTCATGACAGAATAAACAAACCAACTCTAAAAAGAAAAAATGGGGACTCCACACTTGCTAGAATAAGAATTCCTACACTGCTTACAGACGACTGAAATGAATTTCTGTTTGTAAAGTTGGCTTTGACGTTATTTTCAAGACTTTAGATATCTTTGCATGCATATGACAAAGAAACATACAATGAAGATCCACACACCATTCATAATTATAATGCATTTAATCAGTCCCAAGTAAAAACCGTACCCTTCTTTTCCATTCACAGCAGTAGAATTGGTCATCTTTGTACCCATACTGCATACTAATGGTATGCCTGCATTATAATCTCACTGGAGTTACATTTGTATTTTCAATAGGCTTGTATGAATCAGGAGTCTGTCTCTCCACTGAAACAGCTTCTTGATTACGACTCTGCCATACACCACAATCAAACCCAGCTGTTGCAGCTGAAGAGATCATCAACTCCTACAGCTGGGATAAACAGCCATCTTGTCAGCTACCTCAAATGAACAAAAGAGGGAAATCAGAGCCCTCTTTCTCAGAAGCTCAAAGCACTAACACAGAGGGACAGTTGGTAGCAGTCTGCCACTGCACACCAGCATGGGCCTGTGGCACCTCAATAACAAGCATAGCATCTCAGGAGCTCTGCAGACTATGGCAACAGAGCCACTCCAGCCAGCTCTCACGTATCTGCTATCTGAGTGAGCTGGAGACACAGTTTTGTACGTCCCAGAGATTTCCTCTCCAAGGAGTAGTCACCCAGGCTAGCAGTCAACACAGCAGCTTCATTCTACAAACTACACTACTTGTTTATTCCGGAGTCCATTTGGAGAGAGATGGCAAAAACAAGTGTAGGATTTATCTTGTAAAGCTGATGGCAACAGTCAGAGAATACTGAATGCAAAACCTGGCCGACCATTTCAGTCCACTGCAAACCATGCAACATACAACCATAAAAAGAAGCCAAGTTAATGATATAACGTGAACTCCTGAAAACAGTAATCCCGAGCAAAACAGACATTCAGTAGCACTCATTTCCTCTCTCCAAAAGACTTATGATTTGAGATAGCAGGGGATGAAAAAGACTCCAAAGCATTCATATCTTCTAGTGTCTACAGCAATCTATAGTTCTTTACTGGCCTTTGGCAAGCATATTTAAGAGGGATTTTTGTTGGACTGAAATACAGATCATCCAACAGGTATGAAAAAATAATCTGACAAAAAAATACAAGAATTTGTCAAGAAAAATAAGACAAGTCACGAAAAATAAAGGAGTTGAGAAGAAAGTCTAAAAGAATAATGAAAAGGTAGTTTACTGAAAAGGGACAACGTGATAAGGTGGTGTCTTGGTTTAACTGTTTAAGTCACAGAACTATACATATATTTGAAGAAAATGAACTGAGAGACACATGTAAAGAACACACGGCTCTACTATGACTGGTGGTGGTAAAGTTACATAGCATATTTAGGCACAAATCCAGAAAAAGCAATTGCCAGATCTCAGTTACAAATCAAAGAGCAGAGTAAGAGGCAACAACATACTGAACAGAATGAACCAGGATCAATATAACAGATCATCAAGACACAGGCAGCTTCCAACATTCTGATTAAAGGCTTAAAGACAATTAAAAAAAAAAAAAAAAAAAAGAGAGAAGCACATTGAGAAAGGGCCACAACATTTTTAGACACCTCTGCACTGATTTACTGCCTTAAAGTGATTATATTCACACAGCAGACTAGAAAAATCTTCAGTTGTGAAAACCTCTACAGTAACAAAATAAGCAATTTAATAAGAGAACAGTTTTATTTGAACTTGTAATGCTATAACATGATGGAAATCATAGCAATAACAGTGAAGTGGCACAATCCTAGGCTGTAACAAATGAGAACAAGCCCAAAAGTAGCAGCTCTAGATGCAAAAATAAAGGAAGAAATAACTACTTACCTTTTAAAGGCCTCTGGAAGGCAGGGATCTCCAGCAAGAGGTGCCCTTGCCTCCACTGCCAACCCTTAAATGAGGTCTGGAAAGGAATGGATCCTGGCTCCACCCCTCTGCTCACTCAGGAACATTGCATGCACCTGAGCTCCCCCGGGTGAGCCCTGCCTTCCCACCAGGTGTTCAATCACTGCTTCAGGCCATGTCTTAGCATTTCTGCTGCAAAACTACATGGCAATACCAGCTGTACAAGATTAAAAGATCAGGCCCATGATTCTTTAAAGCAAGATTTTTCTCTATCCCCTCTTACAAGTAATAACAACTACCTCTCTTAGCTTCCATCAAGCCTTTTACAGATTCACCAAAGGCTTTTACATAGTTAAAAGCCTATCCTCATTTGGAAATAATTTTCTCCCTAGCACTAAAATGCCAAAACATGGTACCTCCACAGAAGTATTTGTCTCAACTTCAGCTTTAGACCTTGGAATCGTCTCTTCCACATTTAACCGGGTTTTCAAGAGATCAGGCCCATGAAACCATGAGGAGAAAAAATACCATATAACCAACAAGGACTCACCTGGTTAGAGAGTGGACAGTGCAGGTTCTCCCTGAGGAGAGCTCAGAGAGCTCTTATCTTTCTGTTCTACGAGAGGCCAACACAAAAAAAAGCCCTTTCCTTCTGTCCTGCGTCTTTGCTGACTTTCTGATTTCTGATTCCAGCTATCTAGAATAGAGCAGGTCAGTAAGAATATTTCTCCAAGCTGCTCCAAAAGGTCTTCACAAACACCTCAGGCTAGCAGTTACTTTTAAAGTAATTGCCGTTCTATCACCTGTTTTTCTGGCAATCAGTCTCAGGTACTACTCAATCAACTTATATAACCAAGTCCAGCTGGGATCTTCTCAGTCATCACACGAAGGGGTACTTTTCCTCTACAGTTCATGTCTCCTTACCACAAACAAAAAGCTGTATAATAAGTGAAGAGAAAGTATGCACACATACTTATACACACATACTTTTGCACACAATTCAACTATACCAAAAGCACAGAAAAATTCTTAACAATTTCAAAAGACTGGGACCCCACAAAAGCATTAAGTTTCTGGCACACCACAAATACTAACTGATTTCAATCCCCAGTTAGGAAAAAGAGAGGAATTATGGTAATATATTCAGAGAGTTTCTTGAAATATAAATCCATGTTTTCTGATTGCATTAAACCAGGAAACTCAGTATGATTTTATAAAAAGAAAAAAAGACATCAGGGATACTGACAAACTTTGTTTAGCATGTTTTTAAAATTAATCTTATGGCATTATCTCTATTATTTCCTCAAACAGCAACAGAAAACATACATTTTGCAAAATCCAGGTCTGTTAGTATGCCTTGGGAATGAGAAAGGTCAAACTGACCTGAACTGGTTTGATTGGTTCAGTCCCTCACCTGGCTGCCCAAAACTTACAAGACAACAGCACTCAAAAACCACTTGCAACAGAACTGTCTTTACTTCAAAGCTATTTCAAAGTTTATTATAGTTCTTACAGGATCATCCATATAAGGGGAGGCAGAAACACTTATATTACTTAAGACCTGCGTGACTGGTGGATGGTTGTAGCACTTTAAAAAAAAGCTGCCCAATTTCTGTATTCCAACAGAAGAAACGAACCTGGTTGGGAACAGCTGAAACTGAATATGGTAGAGGTTGAAGACAGGAAAAAAAAAAAAGGCAGAGTGAGCCAACAGCAAACAATATTATTTTCCTTCTATAATCACCTTTAACTTAAACTTTTAAGACTTGTGCTTGTGCATTCTACTTTGTAAGAAATCTAATTTTTTAAAATCTAGATTAAAAAAAATTGTTGTTAAAGGTTCTTAAAAAAAACCAAACAAACAAACAAAAAAACCACTGCCATTACAGCCTTCACCTCCAGCACATCTCCAGCAAAACAGCTGGGAAGCAGCAATGCTCTGCACAAGGCAAACCAACCCAAGGCAAACAGACAAGAGATTGTGAAGGCTGATACACAAAAGCTGCATCCAAACAATTTCTTCATGGAACACGGGCATTGAAACAATGATGATTAAAGAAATGATTACAAAAAACTGTAAAGGAGGAAAGTATTCATTTTAAAGGAGATCTCTAAATGTTTCATGAAAGAGGATCGGGTAACTTGTTTATCCTGAAACAAGAGAAAAAGAAGGCCACAAATGAAGTCATAGCTCATTCGAGTTCTTACATTATAAGAATTTCTTACCGAGTTTCTCAGAACTCAGTGAATATGCACCTGTACTGACTCAGTCACTTCTACACCATCTACAATCTGCTAGATATTTCTGTAAAAGGCAGAGAAACTCCCTGCTCATTCAGATATTGCATGCTGAAAACACAAATTTTATTAACTGGAACTTCTGAGTCACTGCATCCGTGTTAATATATTCTATAATTAAGTCGTCTTTCCCTCTAGAGAGCTCATTTATCTTCCATACTAATTCTGTAGGGTTACTAACCTGTACTAGCCATAAATGTCAGTGTCTCTTCACTCCTAGCCGTTCCTCCCGCAAGATCATATCTTTATCTGGTTTGTGAAAATCTACTAAGAAGTGGACAAGACGAAGTTTTAATCAAATGTAAGCAGTAACAACAGGTTTTATTCAAAACTTCCAGTAAAGAGAACCCACTAAGTTTGGAATAAAGGTACTTAAAGTTCTACAGCTTACGCGAATATAAAAGATCAAAGAGAAGAAAATAAACCAAGCAGTAAAAAAAATTAAAAATATATATATTTTTTAGAAGTTTGAAACAGACCCACATGGGGATTTTGAAGCCCTCCAAACAATTGACAGTTTCGAGATTTGGCAAAACAAGATTCTCTTACAAAATTAAAAGCCTATTTCTGTTACATACACTGTATAAAACTGCTCAATAGTTAAAGAGCACACTGTACAACTTTGTCTTGAAATACATAGAGCTGCAGCCTTCAAACTGCAGGAACTAATCATTTCGTCCTCTTCACAGGTGAAAGAATTAACCAGCTGCATAATTGCTCTGGGAGAAAAAGGAGGAGTCCAAGCAAAAGTCAGGATTAACAAGGTGAAGCCACTATAAAAATGAAATGCACAGCAAAACTCAGACCTCAGTTTAAACTAACAACCTATGTTTACAATATATTCTACATGTCAGTTGTCATCTTCTCTTCCCGCTCCCTCTTCCCCCCATTCAAATACTCCTAATTCCTTTACGGGTCTACGTCTAAAGGATTTCTAAACTTTCATAAACACCGTACATTTACCAGAAAACATACCTAACATTCTTACAGCAGTATGGTCAGGACACAATTTCCAAGATTATTACAAGTTATTGATATTAAAACTTCATGTCAGGTGTTCGGGTCGTTGTTTTTGGTTCGTTTGGTTTCTTTTTTTTTTGTCTTAAGAGGAGACTAACCATCAGTTTAAATAAATGATTTTAAAATACACTGCAGAAAGCCTGTTAAAAGCAGGTTTCACCAACATCAGCTCTTAGCCCAAAAGGACAACGCGGAGAAAAAAAATAAGAGAGTGCTGGATATCAAAAAGGAAGAGAATCTCAGAATGCCAACTACAGGAAACTCCTTTGTGAACTCGGTCCAACAGATAGTTGTTTTGGCTCAGTAGCCTCATTTACGATAAGGCCTGTAAATCAACTTTGCAATAGAATGTTACTATGTAAACTAAAATACTTGATACCAACAGTATGACGCCAAAGGGCTTGTTTTTTGTTTTTCTTTGTTTTGTTGGCGTTTTTTTTTTTCCCAAATCCAACAGTTGGTTGCAGAAGTAAATTATTTCCATGGCTCTTATTCAGCTGTTACAAGTTCAGGGGGGGAAAAAAAAAAAAGCGTGTGTCTGACTCATACGTCCTTCAAGTACATGCAAGGCTCAATTGTTTCCAAAATGCAGGAGCTTGGGACCTTAAGACACTGAAGAAATAGGATTATGAGGAGAGCCCATCTGAGTAAGTACTTTATCCAGCCACTGAAGAGGACCGTGAAGGTGTATCTCTATCCAGCATGGAGTGCTTGTTACATCTTGTCGATGGTATTCAGCTCCCCAACCCTGGAAACAGAATCATAAGCAGGGAAAAAGAAAATCATCTCATTTTATAATAGCAAATATTTGAGAAGCACACTTGAATCTATTCCCTTCTTACTGAAATAACGTAGCGTTCATAAGCAATTTTCAGCAGAATAGTGTCTGATTATTACCACATTTCAACAAACAAATCTTAAGTTAAAAAACACAGCATCTGTAGAAATTGTCATTTTGAGATCTCTTGGAATTGAACTCTAAGTTCTCAAAAGAGATGACTTTCGGAACGCAAGACTTCCCCACACTTCACTGCCAGTTATATCATGTCCAATAAACCCTCTAAAGAGAAAGGTAATCAAGTCTTTGACATCAAGATCAAAAACAAGAAAAATGTTGATAAATAGACGAATAAATTAAAAACTGAGGTCACAGAGTGACACTGCGGAATTGGGGCTGAGGTATTTGCCTGGTAAGAACCAAAGCACCTTTTGCAGGATAGAAAGAATACGAACAGCAATATATCAGCAAATACCTCTTAGAATAAAGAAAGCATGATCACTCCCCAGCAGGGTATTTCCCAAGTTAAGGCAAGTTTCTACCCAAGTCTGTAACACTTATTATCAAGGATACGTGCAGACACTTAAACAGCACTCACGTGAACTGTTTTGTGTCTGTCCATATTAAACCCGATGAAGGAGTAGCTGGGCTCCCAATAGGTGGCAGCAGCTATAAACACAGTGCAGCACAGCACTGCACATGCAGGAGTCATGCGCATCCATACAACGCTGCAGTACAACTATTGGGCTACATCCCACACCAACAATCTGCTCCATTTCAGGAACCCCTGCCCTAACACATCTGAAAGATGCTATTCTCTTCCCATACTAGAGGGCATTTCAGCATCATATCAGCTTCATTTGTCTAGTTTCAAAGATGAGACTAGCCATTTTACATCAGAATTTACATATATAACTTATTCATAGCCACATAACAAATCTTTACCTTACATAGAATAGAAAGGTACATGTGTTCATTGAAATAATTATTGCCACTCCTAATATGGGAGCTGCTGTTCAAAACAGACTCCCACAACAGCTACAGTGACTTACAAGCTGTACTATCTCACATCAAAAATACCAGCCAAGAATAAAGGCATAAAGTTCAGCTGGGAACCTTTGAGAACAGGAGATGGCACAGACCACTGCAGCATCATTTAAAAAGGCAAACCAGATGCTATGTAATTAATTTGTGTCTTTCACAGTTTTAGGCCAAGCGATTGACAACTCAACCATCTAAAGCTTATTTGTACTGTATCATGCCATATCCCACAAAATTAAATAGTACCATAATTCCAGACTAATTATTGAAATAATTATAGAAATATACACGATCATATTAAATACAAGTATTCAACCGAATAATTATCTAACACAAGCAATTTAATGAAATAAGAGTAGAGAACAGACATGACAGGAATACTTCAGAAAGTAACTGAAGTGATTGTTAAGGAAACACCTTTTACAGGTCACCTCAGTTTTCCAAGTCTATACCAACAGATGGATTTTTTGTCTATGGACAACTTCAAATTGTTAAGGTCCATCTTACACTTAAAGAACAGTATTCATAAATATTTCGATTTAACAGTTATTAACAGGCCAATGGAGGGAGGCAACCAACAATTCAGAACCACAACATTTTGCTTATTTTGCTTAGAAAACAGCCCCAAGCAAATGTTCACATACCTTTACAAAACTCATGCGGAGAGTGCACATCTTAGTAAGCTCATACACCGTCTCAAAGCCATGGTTCACCGACTGTGCTAAAAGCTGAGCGAACTCCTGATTATTGAAAATCTTCAAACTGCAGCCACTGGGAATTTTGCACACCGTGGTTGGATGGAAACCATGGTGGTAGTTGCAGTTTCGACTTTGCACAAAAATACTGCTGTCGCTGAGGCATTCAGCATACACTTCTCCACCAACATAATAGAGATGAACACCTGGGAAAAGAATGTTGACATGAGGAGGTCAGATTAATTCATACTGAGCATCTGTTTTTCATGGTCTGTTTCCATGTGTTTCTTCTCAAAGAAATGAACATTAGTAGTGCATCAGACCATCCATCCTGTCTTAAAACTCTTTTTTTTTCTCCATGAGTAGATTTAAAGGATGGTCATGTATATATGTATGCCTAAGGAGAAAAATCAGTAATTGCTGCATTTTAACACGCTGTATATTCACCAACAACAAGCCAGTAAGTAACTACAGTAGTTTTGATGCGGTGCATTGGATGGATTGCTCAGCTAAATTTTCTTTCGCTACATTTACACAAAACAATAATTGGGAATGCATGAGGAGAGAGCAGAATCTCTATTATATTGATTGCAAATACTAAAACAGCCCTAAGCTGGACAACCTGTAGAAATTCTGACTCCTATTTTGGCAAGTTCAGTGTAGTTGTTTTCAAGTTTCACACTTGAATGTTTTCACTGCAGAAAACTAAGAATAAATAATGCATAGACGTATCTCTTAAATGAGGGCACATACCTACCAACTGGACAGTCCCACCCTCCTATTTCTCACTCCCTCACCCACTGCTGATGGCAGCAAGTCCCAAAAATGCACCCCATAGGGAACCTCTTGAGATGTGCTGTCAGGATGATTCGATATGCAAATCTTTGACGAAGCAAGAAAACTTTCCTTTAGTGTTTAGAAATTGATTATTTGATGCCTAAACTTTTCACCTCCCACAGTGCAACAAGTCCAAGAAGCAGACAATTCAAATACTGAAGTCAGAAAGCCTCGACTGTGCTCGGTCACGTGAGATGTGTGTACGTGTGAGGGAACACATAGCACCATCTGATCATCAAAACTATTTATGGCTGCCTTCAAGTACGGGATTTACTACCTTTCCTCAAAGACTAACAGTTCTGCGTCATCATTAACTGTGTACATTTTCTTCTTCAACAGCTCCCTTGTCTTTTCCGTTCTACTTTGGTATCTACACGGTTAAGTGCTTCAGCAGAACTCCGCTCGCAGCTGGGTTACTTTTAAAGGGAAAATGAATGAGGTGTTAAATAAATATCCTCATACTTGGTAAGATGGATGGGGAGGAAAAGAAAGAATAAGTTTTAGGACTTGAGTCCCACAGCACAGGTGTGGCGTACTGCTGAGAGCTGCACACACCCTCACGCAGAGAAAGGTTTTCCAGACTAACGGCTATAATTTGATGACTGAATAGTTCTCTTCAGTTTCAATTCTTTTCTCCTCAAAGAAAGGGGAAGATAATCAATTGGCATTTGTCACATTCTCACTGCTTGGGCACGCTCAGCCCTGAACCGTAAGCTCCTAAGAAAGGTGTCTGGCAGGAAAAATCCATGGCAAGGGCGACATCAGACTCACATGTAATCAGTATTACAGACAAGTCCTCAAAAGAGGGGATGGTATTAAGTCTGACATAAAACAGAAGGCCTTTCTCCTCCGCTGGACACTGTCATGGCCATTAAAGAAAAGAGAAGCACAAAATTCCCACTGAAACAGTCACGATCCTCTTTAAAAATGCATTTGAAAAAAACCTGCTTTAGCAAGCTGCCCCTCTAAATACATCTTAGCGTAGCTCATTTGTGTCAGAACTGCAAAATAGATAAGATTTTGTGAGAACTATCATTTGGATTTCCACATTACCAGTAATCAAGAGAAATCAAGACATATCATTTTAAAAAGCCTTAAGCTCTTGCACAAATTAAGATTACGATAGGCTTTAGGCAATAAAAATGGCTAGGGATAAAATCTTCTGGTAATTATCCAGCTGGTAAGAAAAACACACTGGACTCAAAAGACATAGCCAGAAAACTACGTATTTATTAACATTCTAAATAAGCATTTATCCCACATACTGGGAAGAGCAGCCTGCTCTTGAAGCAAGTGGCTCAGGCTACCGTGCCTAGAGGAAAGAGTCCCAAAGAAACCCCCCAAAAAAGAACGCAAAGATTGAAAATTCACCTTTTCCAATGTGTCTCCTTGTATTCTCAATGGTGGAATTGCGATTAACATTGGAGAGCAGCCCCAGGCAAAATCTGTTTTTGTTGTTTGAAGGATCAGTGAAGCCATCCACCAGGATGCTGGTGGAAGAAGCGTGGAAGGCCTCCCCAACACGATTATTCAGCTCGTAATAAACAATGGAGCACCAGTGCTTCGGCTCTTCATAAGCAACAGCCTGAACATCTGCAAAGCAACCGGGCAAAGTTACAGTCTGGCAGTGCTGGAACACAGGCCTCAGATCTAAAGATTCATAAACTTGCAGATTTTGGCAGAAGATCACTAAGAGATGATCTGGATAATCAACTGCAGTTAAATGAAGTGTCTTCTGTTCTCAGATATTTTTGAACTTTTCATTGCCACAGAAACACAATAGAATAATTTCACCTTAGCTTTACTTGCACAAGACCCAAAGCAGAAAATACTGGCAACAGTAAGGCGCAAGAGCTCCCAAGCACAGAACAAGCTGTGCCCCAATAACCCTGCTGCACATTCTACAACCCACTATGGCACCGGCCCAGACAGCAGAGAAACACCTCAACCCTAGAGCTCAACTTTCTTTCCAATCTAGTAAGTTAAATCGTATTTCAGCATCATTTTGCTCTTTTTTTTTGGGTGTTTTTTTTTTTTTGTTTTTTTTTTTTTTTTTTGTCATTTATTTTACCAAATTAAAAGTAATCTTTGTTCTTACTGTGAAGTTCTATCACAACAAGGAGAAACTGCAACTGCAGAAGAAACCATTACAACTGGGTACCAGCAAGCCTAGAGCTATCTTAAAAACAAACTCAGCAGACCAGTAGTTTGGCCTTTGGGGCTTGCACTAATCTTTCTTCAAGAAATAAAAGTTGTTGACATCTGTCTGCAGAACATGCAAACTACCTGGGATCCAAGGTTGATCAAGGCCATAACACGCAATCCTAACAACTCTGCTGGACAACAGAATAGATGCAGAAAAAGCAGATATTACTTAATGTGAGCCTTTTATTCACCAAACGCTAGCCAGTACAAATCCTGCAATTGTTCACCAACAGAAGAATTACTTGTTGAGCAATACCAAGCATTTCTCAGGACTTGGTTTTCTAGATTATGGCAGCAACAAAGTCCTCCTCAGCAGCTCCTAACTAAAGCTGGGAATTGCACAGAATGCCAGCAGAACATCCACGGTTCCCCATTTCTATCAGGCTCTACAAATGCATGAAAGCCTTGAGCTAACACCTGTGACTCTGAACTGGGAAAAATTTCTTCAAGGTACAGAAGGTCTTCACCAAAAGCAGTTTCTCACTGGGTGTCCAACAGCACCGGCTTCTTCAGAGGTCTCCACCCAATAGGTATTCTTTCAAGTGTCAAATACAGTTACAAATTATTATACTGTCTCCAAATAAAAGGAGGCTAGCAAAGGGATGTGGTTGCTTTATGTGGTTTCTTTCAAACTAAGGAGACTACTTCCCTACTCAGCCTAGCACAGTTGGACCTGCTGTTGAGATAACAGCTCAGCAGATTGAAGCTCTAACTACAGGCCAAAGTGCTAAAATGAAAATAAGATCAGTATTCCAGGGAAGCTTGTTTCTCTGGCTGAAGATTCCTTCTCTCAACCCCAAGCCTACACTGAAGTCAGCCAACTAAGTCCAGTGTTAATATTTTCCTTTCTTCACACATCGTGATTTTTCTGATGTACAGAAGCAAAATTAAAATCCCCTCAAATAAACATTACATATCAGATACAAACGGTAACAAATAGCAGAAAGCAGGACAACATATCCTACTTTATTGTGCAAAACTTGAGTATGTCTGCATCTGATTACTACCTTGCTTAAAAGACGGCTAAAAAGGAGCTAGTCTTTCCTGATCCCTAGCATGTTCTATCGTCTCACATCACTGTTAAAAAATTAAAAACCATTCATTACTTATTAGTAAGAGATTACTACACTTTCAACTCACACGAAGATGCCAGCAATTATCAAAGCTGCAGCTTTACCCCAGTTCTCAAAAGTCAGGAAGAAATCCTGCCAGCTGGCCATTCTTCCAGAATGAATCATATCTCTCTCACACAGATTTCATACTAACTTCCTTACATTTGCTTTAAGTCATGCAGAGCAGGTGCGCTTAGTCTCTCTATTCCCAGCATGGGCCAACAATGGAAATTACCCAACTTCATTGACAGGATGCAGCTTGTTAAGTCAAAGCTCTTAAGACTAACAAATCACCATGAAAAACACGCTTCTAAAAGCTTGCAACAAAAATGCTGCAGCCAGTTTACACTAAGAACTGTTCTTTTTTGATCCGTGACAGATTTTTTTTTTTAAATGTAGTGAAATCACAGTCTGGGTATAGAGAGAGCCCGTATGAGTGTGTGTAAATGCATACACAATACAAACAACACACAGCGGCATACAAAAGCAAGGGTTCTAACTTGGTTTTGCTTTACTTATTTATTAACTTTATTAACTGAAGAGGCAGAGGCGAGATTCCACCGTACTTAACTACTAAGAGGGAGAAACACTGACAGTACTTTTATTTGGAATGGCTGAGTATTAAGAGAACGGTTTGTATTTTCCTTCTTGCTTTTTATTAACTCGTGTAATAGAAGAATTACACACACATGGATTTTTAAGTAGGATAAGCATGCAAAAGTTTGCAGTGAGGCACCAACACTGATAAACGTACTTCGGGCCTTCAGCAGCAGCGAGGACTGTACGCACACAGTGTATGGGATCAGAGAATACTGGAAATGCTACACAGATGGGGTTTATCACATGCAAAATTCATTCCACACAGAGTAAATAGTTTACCAGGGAAGCTATCCAAACTGTTTAAAGAGTGCAAATATACTTCCTGAAACCAGACATCAAGCTTAGCAACAAAACAAGCACAAAAAAAAAAAACCAAACAATAGTTAAATTGTTCATATGCTTGTGATCTTCATAATCATTCTGGCACAGCACTCTGCTCTTTCTTGGCACGGTCAGTAACTGTGCACGACTGTTTGTTCTCTAAAGGGGCTATTTCTCACAACGTTATGGATGCACTAAATCCTTTACCCAGCAGCAAAGCTGACCGAAAAGGCTTTAAAAAACAACATGCTAAAAAGATTCCTACATCACAGTAGGTAAAGCAATGGGTTATACATTTTATTAAATATAGATTTCAAAGCCTGTAGTGCTGTCATCTCAGCAGACAGCTTAGAATTCTGAAACGCTGTCATTGCAGGACTCATCAATGGAACAAAAAGGTTCCAGAAGCAAAACTTTTTTTTTTTTTTTACAGCTCTTATCACCAGGAGAAATGGTAACCGTACAAAACAGAGCATATGCTTCAGGGACTTGAAGGCAAGCACTGATTTTAGAACCAAAACACAATGAGAATGGGAAGTTTTATTACATTTACTGACATGTGACATGTACTGCCTGGAAAAAACGTCTGCAGGCATTTACATAATGGCCATATTAGCACCCATTCTCTGACCACATCCTCATTTAGAGACTACATGACTGTATCTGCCATCTACAATTCAGTAGACGCTATACAGAACCAACTGCACTGCTTCAGTCATAGGATCATTGAAGCTGGAACAGAGCTCCAGTCCAACCATCCACTGACTCCCAGTACTGCCCACTGAACCACATTCCAAAGTACTACATCCACCCTTTCCTTAAACATCTCCAGGGACGGTGACAATAAACCAATGTATAAGAGATAAGGAGAATCCTTTCCCTGCACGTGTACCATTTCAGAATTGAATGCAAAAATTCAATTCTGAATAATTGTCTTCTCTGAGACAAACAGAATTTCCACACAGAAATATAGAAAATGATCTTGACCATGACGTGATTGGGCATCAGAAAGTAATAAAGTCCATGTTTTTTTAAACAAGAGCGTTCTGGTCCTAAATAACTACATACTTTAAAATTAAAAACTCTTTCTCTAGATTTATTGTTTCATGCCTTACAGCAACAGGGAAGAGAAATGACATGTTTTTTTCTTTTCAACATATAAAGATGTCCACAAACAGTATGCATCCAATATTGAAGTAACCAAACAATTCTGAATACGCACTCTTAAGAAGCGAAGCAGAAGATGAGAAGGAAATGTTTTTACCTCCTCTGTGTATGTCAGGGTGGATTCCAGGTGCCAACATGTTGGTATCCATTGGCTGGGAGGTATCGTGTGTCATCTGATCTTCCGGAGGCAGGTAAGCAGGAGGAGGAGTATCAGCTAAAAACAGAAGAGATAGAGATAGATGAGCCCTTTCTTCTCTTTAAAGTACATACATATTCACATAAACAGCATTTGTCTGGAAAAGTTTCCAGTCTGACTCAGCTATAAATTTCCACTCATCAGAAATCAGAGAAAGCAATCATGGACCTTGATTCAGGAAAGCAAAAAAAATTACCACGCGTATCAAGCACAAGCACAATAAAAACAAGTTCCTTCCCCCCGTCAAACCACAAAGAAATCTTAGCTACACTGCCTGTCCACGACTTTGGCAGGTAGAAAATTACACAAACAGCACATAGAGAGCTCTTAGGAAAAGGTCTGAAGTACATACTGAATGCTGTACACGTGAACAGAATTCGGAGCAGAAAGCTTTTAACTTCAGCTTTTCTGCTTGATTGATTGCTTCAGTGAAGCATGCAGACACTCCTGATAGATCCACAACTCTGTCACTACAACTAGAGAGTACTAGCTCCATCTCCCTAGATAGGAAATAGTAGAAAGTACTGATCAACCCCAGTTCTGCAGAAGTAACTTTCGGGTTTGGAATTTATTTGCTGCCATCTCCTCCTGGCTGCATTGGCCAGCTCAGCACTGAACCACTAGCACAAAAACCATCCTAAGCACTACGACCATACTCACTCACCCACTGTCACCATGCTGTTTGAAGCACCATAGGCAGGTGCTTGCACTGCTCTCCTGCTGCCTGCTTTGCTTCCTAAACAGCTTCCCAGCAGCTGCAAGAAGCTGCCAATGGCACCGCTTTCCAGGAAAGCAGAGGGCTCGCTTCGTCACAGCAATCACAGAGGTGCATGCACAAGAGAAACCCTTGCCCAAAGCCTACAAGCTTTTACTGCAAAAGCTGAGGTTAGATTGCCTCTCGTGAGCACTGCTGCTGCTCATCCCACATTTACTGCCATCAATGATTGCCAGTTACCACAGTAAGGAATCACGGGTGCCTCCAAAAACCTGAAAACCAAATTCACACCAGGAAAAGGCAAGAAAACCATACCACTGATTTCCAAGCTGAGAGTTTTATGTCTAAAGCTAGCTGGTACATTGCTAATTCCCTTCCTTTTTGGAGGAGCAAGCAGCAGGAAAAGAAAAATGACAACAAGACTGCTTTAAAGCTTAGCAGTCTGCAGTGGAGTTCAAAAGCTTTTTGTTATAATAAAACTTGGACAATCATGTGCATGGAAGCACAATGTTGGAGATGCACAGATAGGAAAATCAGTCAGTTTCTGGAAAGTTTTCGAGATTTTTGGACATCTGTCTTGATTTTTTTTAATTTTTATTTTTTTAATATTTCCAGTAGTCAGCCTCCTCTTTCCCTAACAGATTAAGATGGACAGCTGTGCAGAACTAAACATGATGGACATCAGCATCGCATCTTTCCTCTCAATCAGTTTCTTCAATGCAGCCCAAGACTTGTCTTTATGGGTATGCAGACAGAACAGACCTCTCAAGATCAAGCAAGCTTCCACAAGACGATGTTCAGGAAGGCCTTCCTGCTAGAGAAGCCTTTGGAAGAGACCCAACCACATTGGTCATATTTAAAACAAAACAGAATGCAGAAATAAGACAGCTGTTTCTGCTGCAACTTCTCACATTTAAAAAACAAACAACCAAAAAAAAAAAAAAAAACCCACCACCAAATACATCCACTCTTTCTCCTTCCCTCCTGTCTCTGCAAGTTTACTCATCTTCACACAACTATCAGCACTAGAAATCTCTAAATGTTAATTTCACATAGTGGAAAGCACATTTTCACAAGCCCGTTGGCTTTTGTTTACACACGCTCTCCTACAGCCCCCCCCAAAAAACACATAAACAGAACCATCCGTGGACTCTGTACACACGCTTTACTCCTAACATTTAGGTCAAGAGATCCCTCATAAGCAGCTTCCGCGGTATCTTAACATCCCTGTACAGAAATACAATAACGACAGCTTCACAGAATTTTCTGCAAACAGTTCAGCCAAAAAAGGTTGCTAATTCTTTGAAATTACGAATTAAGAATTCTCAAGATTTATTTTCAGAGCATCCCATGTTTTTCAGTTGATATATATTTGGTTTTTGAAATTACATCACTACGTGAAGAAACTTTATCAAGTAGCAGCAGCATGATACCCTTGACAAACATCCTTCTGTAGAACTACAGCTCTGTGCTGAATTTATGATTCTCTCTCTCCTAAGCAAGACTGATCCATAGCATTACTCTCCTTGTGCATTAAGTTTTACACTCTATGCAATACGCTGTCAAACCATCTCCCAAGAATATTCATGACATGGAATCCTTTCCTCTGTCCCAGAAGATTTCACCTGTAACATTTGAACTGTGTTGAAGAGGAAACAAATTCAAAGCCTCAATAATATTACAAGAGACCAACCAAGTCTTCATTAGCTAAAGTTTACTCCTGAACACAAGCATTGGCTGAAGTATTACTAAGCAAAAATACAAAGATATTTGTTACGTTCAACCACATTTTCACTTGTCGCAAGTCACAGAAGTCGACCATACCTGGCATCTGAAAAGGGCTTCCTGGGTCTGAGCTGGCTGGAGAATGTGGGTAGGTGCTACTGCTGCTTCCAGGCGAGTTTGGATAGCTGCTGTTTGGCGAATGGGGAAACGGGTGACTGTTGGGCTGCTGAAAAGAGTCCGGGAAAGTAGCGTTGTGTGGCATGTGGGGCTCATTCTGTCCCAAGTTGCGGAACTGAGCCAAGAGGCTGTGCTGAGGGTTGTACTCACTGTGCCGTGGAACCAGCACTGGAGGTAGAACTGCAAAGGGAGAAAGCAGGACAAAGCAACGGCATTAGAGACTCAGGACAGAAGAACGAGGCCATACCTGGAAAAAACATTCTTCATCGCATAAGGCGTAATTCACATCTGCCTTAAAAACAAGGTAGTCGAATCCAGGAACACGTTTCAGCAAGAACTCTTTTCCTTTCATCCAAGTTACTGTATAGCTTGAATTTATAGCGACCGCGCTAGCTACCTGGCTCGCCAGACAAGCTCGATTTTAGAGGGCCAGGGAAGATCCAAACATAAGCAGCAATTCAGCAGTGCAGGCTTTTTTTCTGCACCAAAAAACACTGAAGTAGCCACAGCACAATCATGACAGGCACTTTGTTCTACTCTACTTGCGATCTTGCTAATCATGTAATGGCCTGTAACCTAAAACCTTGCTAGCAAGGACAGATACGTTTTTTCTGAAGAAAATACTAATATTATACAGACCTTGAACTGAGCCTGGTCCCAACAGTTGCAGTTATATTTTTAACCTAGTCTAGGTTCTTGTCTGGATTAGTACTGAAATGGTTATTAACACTAAACGTCAGTTTATAAATGCAATTTGAATAAAGTGACACAAAAATAATAAAAACAAAATAAAAACAACTGAGCAGCCATTGAATTCCAAGTAAACGCTACTACATGATCAGAGAAACACATCACATACTGCTGGCCTCCCCACACTCTCAAGGCCTCCTCAGCAGCAGGAAACAAAGGCCTCTTTAACTGGGAATATGAACATGATACCAGCTACATCAAGATAAAAGAATCAGCCCTTTTTCCAACACTTCATCTTCTATCTTTAAATGCCTCACAGCAAAGTCCAAGCTACTCAAAAGATTAAAAGCTCATCTTGTTTGAGAGATTTTGTGGGTTACAGAGGAAAGAGGAGAAGAAAGAGCCTACACAGGAGATCTATGCACAAGGAAGTGAAATAAGAAGTTACTGCCCTCCACACCTGCCTGCATCCATTCACTACCTATTTCACAGCTGCACAGCCACATGGGACCAGGCAGCCCCCTGCGAGTCTTCAAGAGAGACTGCCAAAAAGCACAAAGCATCAAAGCAAGCCAGGACACCTCAGCCCCTCCCCGAGAGCCCTGCCCTGCACCCTGACCAGGCGGCCATGCAGGAGAAAAGCAGGAGCACAGCAGAAGCAGCTACGCAGGAGAAGCCCCCACAGGCAGGACTGCATCACTCAATTAAGGAAGGTGATTCGTAACAGTTGATTCACCATAAGGTGAATTAAGAACTGCGAGTAAAAATACAACAAAGACCAACATCGTTCTGACAAACAGGTTCTTCCAATGCATTAAGAAACTTATTCTTCCAGCACTTTGCTTACACTAAAGCATTCAGGTTCTTAGTGGAGTCTCCAAGGATTTAAGAAGCACCCACTATCACTACAACTACAGACCAGGCCTAAAGCCTAGGCCCAAATTCAAATTCAAAGCAGCCAGTTTTGCTTGCCTTTTATATATTTATTTTAAAGATTTAATCTGATGTTTCATTTTCCTAGAACAGCTTCACCAAGTTTCAGTGGATCTCAAACACTCGAGACAGATGTCATTTGTAGTGAGATTTGTTTAGGAATGACAATTTTAGCTGACACCCCTTTAAAAGGAATGCAGAAAGTTGCTGATCACAGCATTTTCTGAAACAAAGCACACCTATCTACCATTCTTTTGAAGTTCCCAATTGCAGAACACCGCAGTAGAAGATGGATCTCCCTTGGCCATACAGGCTGCCTCTTGCCTCTAATGCAACTGTTCTCATAGGCCTCATAAGCCACTGGAAAAAGCCAGGAAATAAAAAAAAAAAAAAAAAAACATTTGAGTTGGACATCATAAATCCCCTCATTCACAACACAGCAAATGTCAGGCCCACTCTGTCTGAATAGTAGGATCCCTCCAAATTAAACACTTTCTGTTAAGCCTGACAGTCCTTTTGTAGTGAGGTCAAGCAATACTTCAGCTGTCATGGTCAACATCTGCTGGACTCATAAATTACAAGCGGAAAAAAAAGTAACAATGAGATCATGTGTTAAAAAGTATTTTCCCTTTCCTGTCTTTATGGTTCTTCCTTACTTTGCTGAGCATTAAAAACACATCTTTCCTATCTCTTCCTTTCCTGCAGATGAAGGTCAAACCATTAACTTTTCTAAAGTTAATTTGTGCAGAAAGTACATCACTTACCTTTCCCATCCGCAGTCTCACATTAAACAATGACATGCATGACATCACAGGAAACCATACAATTTATAGCACTTAAAAGCTGGACAGCAGGATATTTTCTGTAGGTTTTCTGTAATTAAAATATAGCAGTGCCAACTTTGCCAAGGTACACATGCACGTTCTCAAAGTTCAGAAGGACTCAAGACAAGAAAGCATCTCCTCCTCCCAACCATCCCTGTGATGGGATGGGACCTGTGCTCCCACTACTCCTTCAACCTAAAATACTTAAATGCCAAAGTCTTTAAAATACACACAGGAAAGGGAGGATGGGAGGAAGAAAACGACCAGTACTCATACTGCCTAAACAGCCTCAAAAACATCACCGCAGAATTTACTTGAATGCTGCCTAAAATTCACATTCTCCTGCATACAAAATTTAGAGCAGGAGTAGAAGCCCCGAAGGCCACATCAAGTGGGACTGAGCCTACAGCACTGCAATGATTCCGACCCTGAGACAACCACTCCCTGCCATAACCTGATCTCTCTGAGGCACAAGGGTTTTTGGCAGCCTCGACGCTCTTGCTGGAGTCACTGAGGAGTTCATCTGAACACCGTCCTCCCGTGAGCAAAGCCATGAGTGGGACTGGGCAGTTCGCGAGCAGAAATGGGCGCCAGGAATTCAGTGTGTGAAGGGGGTTACATACCGTTCTTGTTCCCCTCACCCCACTCTAAGGCAGTGAGCTCCTGGTCAGGTTGCAGCCCTCGGCCATATGGAATAACAAATTACCAGGGCTCAGTACAGCAGAGGAGGAGGCTGATCTCTGCAGCAGCTGCCAACTTCAGGAAGAGGTATAATTGAAGAGGAGAAAGCATGAGAGAGTTATTCTGTGCTAAGCCAGCACACCTGTTGCTACAAAATAATGAACGAGGGCACATCTTTGTCGTGGGGATCTCTGCAGGACACCAGTGTAGTGAGAATCTCTATTTTGCTGCCTTTGGTGGAAAACAGTTGCAAAAGTATGAAAAATACATATATTTTAAATCATCACTAATTCTATTCACGGATGCACATACTTAAAGGAAACACTAAATACACTGCTCTCTTAAAAAGCTACTGAAACAAGCACATCAAACAGCATCTCACAAAATCTGTAAATTCAACCCCAGAAAAACGGTTAAAACCAGGTAGTGGAGTAGAACCAAGTCAGACAGCTCGATTTCTATACTTTCTCAAACACCGGATTACAAGGTTTTAAGGGTTAAGCTGCGTCTAAATCTTGCTGCAGACGTGCACCTGAATGCCAGTGCTGAAACATGCCTGCTACTAGCAGCACTGCTGCTAAAGGCTGAGGAGGAAGGTAAACCCCCTCGAAGTCAAGCTGGGTATGTTTGCAGAACTGTAGCAAAGAAGAGATCCTATATCTGTCAACAAAGTGAGACAGCCTGGGAATTAGGTAGCTTGTTTTTAACATGCAAATTGCATTCCGAGTTTGCCTGCACCAAACAAGCGGAGCTGTATTAAAGAAATTACAGCTAAAGGGCAATTTCACCCACAGGGCTATTTCATCTAAGAGCCAAGAACGTCAAAAACACAGAATATAGACCAAAGACAACTGGGCTGTTCAGATCAATGTGCCAACCAACCACACCAAGAAAGAAACGCTTTTATGAAAATGTTACAGCGGCCTTTGAAGAAAGCTACTGATCTCTGCTCTTTGTATCTCCGTTCTTCAGAAAACTAACAGGTGTGCTGAGCTCAACATTTTCTTGGTTTTCCTTTTTGTTCTAATTTCACATTCCAGAGATAATGGTTTCAGCAAAGATAGAAAGTCACTGATTTATGATTACAACTTACTTTTTAAAGCCTCTCTGTAAAAAAAAAAAAAAAAAAAAAGAAAAGAAAAGAAGAAAAAACCCTACTCCAGACCGAAGAACACACTGCACATTCCGAGTACGTTATTTTTTATCCAGATGAATTCTGCTTGCCTGACACAAGCCCAGATGATAGCTAGTTTCCCTCACGGGCTTGTTACATGAAGATCTGGGCAAGGATTTCTTTTTTCATGTCTGGAAATTCCAAGAACAAATAATGGAATATTCCAAGCAGCCACACATAAGCAAGCAGGCTCTGATCCCCCTTTCCAAGGTAAATTCCACTATTTCTGCTAGCTTTAGCAAATAAATAAGTAAAAGATGAGCAATTGCTTCTTCACTTTCAACCACCCTGCCCTTAAAAATCATGACAACTTGGTGGATACATGTTACGTAGAATTGCTTGTGCAGCCTTACATGAAAACAGGGCCTTCAGCCCTTATAAAGGCCTCAAGGCACTATAATTAGACTGTGTACTTAAATTTGCAAGCATCATATGGCTTTATTTTCATATGAATTTATGCAAAGTCACTCATGTTTCATGGGGAAAATAAAACTGCATGCCGAGAAGGAAGGAAATCCTCACACAGCAGCTGGCACTATCTGGGGATGGACATGAATACACAAGGCTCACTCAATGCTCTGGATGCGTCCTCCTGTAAAGGCGAAGTGGCAAGGGAAAAAGTCAGAGAACAACAGAAGAAACACCGAGCCAGTGCGCACACACACACACGCACACACAAAATCCTAAAGCACAGCAGCAATGTTAAACTAACAAATTTCAATGCTTCTAAAGACTTCTGCCTCAGTGTCTGCCTTTGAGGCCAGTGTAGCTGGAGCAGGCTGTGACATCCCAGCATGTAACCAGTCCCATGGTGGGAACAGAGCAGGTACCAGCACACACCGAGCTCAGCGCTTACCTCTGCTTGCTGTCTCCAGCAT